AAATCTATTCTTTAGATGGTCTCTAAATTCAGGAGGGATATATTCAAGATCATATTTTGGCTCTTGTGGACTTGTTTTAATTGTCTTCAAGTTGAACATGCATATGAGTAGTTGATGTTCTGTTCCACAATCAGCTGCCAGCCTAGTTTTGGCTGAGGATATTGAGCTTCTCCATCGTCTCTTGCCACAGATGTAGTTAAACTGATTCCTACGTATTCCATCTGGCAAAGTCCACATATATAGCCACCATTTGTGTTGTTGAAAAAAGGTATTTGCAATGAATAAATTGTTGGTCTTGTACAAGTCTATCATGAGATTTCCAGCATTATTTCTGTCACCAAGGCCAAATTTTCCAGCTACCGGTAATTTTTCCTTGTTTCCAACTTTTGCATTCTAGTCCCCAGTGATAATTAACACATCTTGATTGCATGTTCAGTCAATTTCAGACTGCAGAAGCTAATAAAAATCTTCAATTTCCTCATCTTTGGCTTTGGTGGTTGGTGCATAAATTTGAATAATAGTCATATTAACTGGCCTTCCTTGTAGGTGTATGGACATTATCCTATCACTGACAGCATTGTACTTCAGGACAGATCTTGAAACATCCTTTGTGATGATGAATGCCACACAATTCTTCTTCAAATTGTTATTCCCAGCATCATAGATTATATGGTTGTCTGATTCAAGATGGCCAAAACCAGTCCATCTCAGCTCACTAATGCCTAGTATAGCAATGTTTATGCACTCCATTTCATTTTGACAACTTCCAATTTTCCTAGATTCATACTTCATACATTCCATGTTCCAATTATTAATGGACGTTTGCAGCTGTTTCTCCTTAATTTGAGTCTTGCCACGTCAGCAAATGGAGGTCTCAAAAGCTTTACTTTATCCATATCATTAAGGCTGGTTCTACTCTGATGATGCAGCCCTTTCCCAGTGGTATTTTGAGAGCCTTCCAGCCTAAGTGGCTCATCCTCCTGCATTGTATTGGACAATGTTTCCAGGCTATTCATAAAGTTGATCAGTAATGTATCAGACAATGTTTCTCTGCTATTCATAAGGTTTTCCCTGGCCAATTCTTTGAGAAATGGATGGCCTCTTCTTTCTTCCTAATCTGTCTCAGTCTGCAAGCCACACTGAAATCTGTGCACCATGTGCAACCCTGCTGGGTTTGAAACACCAGTGGCACAGCCTCAAGCCTCAAAGGAACACACCACCACAGTAGGACAAACTGACAGACGAGTTTGTCCTCCTTAGCTGTTTGAAACCTCTCCATCCTCCTCTTACACAGATCCCTGCCTCTTTCCTGCCATTTGGGGGTGGGGCCTGGGTATCTCTCCTTACCTGGATCTTTGCTGCTGCTTCCTCACTCTGTCCTGGTCCCCCTGGCCTTTTCTCTCCTTTCTTCCACTTTCCCTCCACTGTTTGCGAGGTGTGGCCTGGGTCCCTCCCCTTACCTGGATCCCTGCTGCTGCTTCCTCTCTCTGCCCTGATCCCCCTGGCCAGAGGGATGACCTTACCAAAAACCCTCTATCACTATTCTCCAGATCACAAGGGTCTTGCTTAACTCAGGGTGTACAAGTGAAACCCATCTCATAGCCATCAAGTTGATCCCAACTCATAGAGATCCTATAGGACAGTAAAATGCCACATAGGGTTTCCAAAGCTGTAAATCTTTACAGAAGCAGATTGCCTCATCTTTCTCCCACAGAGTGGCTGTTGTTGTTGTTGTTATGTGCTGTCGAGTCGGACCTGACTCACAGCGACCCCTCCTTGGGTTTCCGAGACAGTATCACTATGAAAGTAGATTGCCCAACCTTCCTTCCAAAGAGTGGCTGGTGGGTTTAAACCACCATGCTTCTGGTTAGCAGTCAAGTACTCTAGGCACTATGTTACCAGAGCTCCCCACAGAGCAGCTAGTGGATTACAAATAGAAATCTGTTATTTCAGAAAGCAGTGTCTCAGGCTACCCTGGCCCCTAGTGCCTGGTCTGGCTGGTCCTAGGCTAAAAGAGATATCATTGCCATGGCTTTCCTCAGAGGAGGAAGGAAAGAACTAGTAGAAACATTACCTGGGGCCATCCATTCTTTTTATTGGATGTGTAGGTGGACCCAGAGCATTCCTTTGGAGAAGAATGCAAGCACCACACGTACTTTGGGGGTAAGTCAAAGGCACGATACTTAACTTCCCTAGAGGTTTGGGTCAGCATGCCATGGATGATTGTAACATGCCTCAGAACCAGAGAAAAACATCAAGCTAATTAAATTCTCAAAGGTCATCTAGTCCAACATCTTCATTATATGAAGGGAAAACTTGGGGCCCAGACAGGAGAATTGACTTGCTTAAGGTAACAGCAAGTTAATATAACAGATGGGACTCAGACTGTAACTCACAGTTGAGACCAGGGCTTCCACCATTGTCTCATCTTACATTTTCCAGGCCACCCCTTACCCAACCACTACTGCTGATGTGGCTTTAGGATCAATGTTTCCTCAAAACTGGAGGGTCTTTCAGGGAACACAGGAGACCAACTTTGGAACATCTGAATTTGTAAAGAGAGAAATTTAAAATAAATATGTTAACTACCTTTTGGCTTAATATAAACAACATTAGGAAGTACTGTCATTGGCTCCATATGCATCTTAGAGGTGCCTGGGGGGGCACGCAGGTGCCCAGAAATCTGGCTCACCTCTTTATTCTGTTGTATTTAGAAATGGTGGTGGCCGCAGTGGAACTTTCTGTGCCATCTGCAGTGTGTGTGAGATGATCCAGCAGCAAAACATCATTGATGTGTTCCACATCGTAAAAACATTGCGTAACAACAAATCCAACATGGTGGAGACCCTGGTGAGTGTCCCAGGAATTGGTCTGCCACAGCCAAGGGCTGACTATAGTACTCTTGACCTGAAAATAATGACACCAGATAGTAAGAATATCCAGCATCCAGGTGCTTATTGAGTACCTGCTGAGAGCCTTGGCTTACGCTGTCATCTGTTCGGCCTTTTTCCCTTCTGGCACCACCGGCTTCACTGTCCTGCTATTCCTAGTATACTTTACTTTGTTTTTTCTTCTGCACATTGCTTAAGAAAGTGTCACTAATTCAGCTTTAGGGGAAGGGAGTCTGGATTAGTAGAATGAGAATTATGTTTTCAATTTGATCTATTCTAATTAATTTCTACTAATTTTTACAGAATAAAACATTGGGCTAGAACATTGAGGAGAAAGGGATGGTCAAGAGATTGGAGAGATGGTAAAACATGGTGCAATAGTGGAGACAGACCATATACAAGGAACTTTACTAAATGAGTCTATAGACTGACTCAAGGTGTGGTCCTTTTCAAAGCATAGTCTGTAGACCAGCAGCATCAGTATCACCTAGAAAATTGTTAGGAATTCAGAATGTTGAGTTCCATTCCTGATTTACTGGATCAGGATGTGAATTTTTAAAAGATTCCTGGGTGCCTTACATTACAATCTGAGAAGTGCTGGTGTACAAAACAGTAAAAAGAAAGGGGATGGTCCCAGCTGGACATCTGAGAAGGCTTGGGAAGAAGTAGACATCAGGCAGAAGTTTGAAGGATGTCCAAATAGGAATAATTAATGGATAGTTTTGAGTTGATTTTGTAACAAGAATGTAGATAAACTTTGTCTCTAAATCTAAATTAAACACATGTTCCTTTTTCTTTCATCTCTCTCTCTCTTGTCCCCACTTCTCCCTCTCTGCCCCTCCACCTTTCTATCCTCTCATAGGAACAGTATAAATTTGTATACGAGGTGGCACTGGAATATTTAAGCTCCTTTTAGTCCACCAGGATGGGGAACCTGCTGGAGTTCAGAGGTTGCTGCGGCCATGCCTCTTTTTCTGTGACTGACAGGACTGGGCCCAGGGGCTGAGAGGTGGCTCCTCTGTCCACCTCCAAGGAGAAGACTGGGTGGTCCATGGTACCTCTGGAGAGGTCTCCTGTTGCTGTGGGAAAGGCTGCTCAGAGAGGCCCAGGCTTTCTTTCTATACCTGATCAGCCACAGCCATGGGCCCCAGCACAAGTGCACCCTCAAGCAAGGTCCCTGGATTCTCAGTTCCCAGCCCACTCTTGCTTTTTTTTTTTTTTTTTTTTTTTTTGAGTTTGTGGATCTCATGGCAAGCTGACTGTGCAGGTGTTGGGGCATGGAAGACTCAGCAGCACCTCGCTGGCCTACTTCTCCTTAGGAGTGCAGAGGCTGTGTTCTACACCTCCTCACTGTCATGTAAACAACTGGGGCTTTTGGAGTCACTGGTCTGCTGCCATCTTCATCAGGGACCTATAACACCAGACACCTGCTAGTGTGGCTCGATATGGTCTCGGGATGCTTCCTAGGCCACAGCAGAGGCCCTGTCCTCACCATAGCCCACACGCACCCTGCATGGGGCTTGGCCCACTACCATTCTGTACCTCTCTCCCAGCCTGGGCCTTGACCTTCTGTCGCTCACTGGCCAGTCAGCTGTGTCCTTGGCACCCTTTGATAAAGGTTTTCTTTGTGTTTTTGTGATCAGGGGGAAGAAGGTGGAACTTTAGGGGGCTTCACTGCTCTATCTTCTCTTTGTAAAGAAAGACCACCTCTCTCAGGCCAGGCTCTGGCTGCCTCACACGATGTAACCTGTATGGGTGATGGTTTCCTTTTGGGAGGGATAAACAACATAAGACATGATTATTTTCCAAAGTGTATGTGAAAAGAAACTTTCTTTTTGGGAGATTAAAACCACAGTTTCTTTTGTAAAAAGAAAAGAAAGTAAAGGGGAAAACAAGTTTGAATGTGTAGTTATAAGACAAAACTATTAGGCCTATCATCTATCCTGGCAATGTTCTTCAAAGATCCCACCCTGGAACACCACAGCTACTGAGCAAGGGAGAGACTGGCTGGTGTGAAGATGCTCCTTTGGTTCCTGGGGCAGATAGAGCATCAGCTATCTGCATAATTTTGGATTTTCAAATTTAATTCCCTCCCTTAAGAAAAACAGGTGCCATCTTGAAAAAGGCCATTATGGTTGAATATAGGCCAAAGGGATCATGCTTGAAGGCCTGGGTCTTGCCCAAATTATGAGTAGATCAATGAGAGGGACCCAACATTGCTAAGTACCTACTGTTTGTCAGGTATCATGCTTGGCACTTTCTATGTGACAGCACACATGGTCCTTAGAACCCTCCATGAGAAATCTATTAACTCACGATCCTCATCATTTTCCAAGTGAAGAAACTAGAGTAACTTCCTCAACAATGAAATTTTGGGATCCCAAAAGGCAGGTAATAGTGATGGGACTTATTTGTACTGTTTTTTGTTGTTGTTGTTTGTTTTGTTTTGTTTTTTTCATTCTTTCTCAGCCAAAGGATTGTTTTGGGGAGGGAAAATATTGCCAGAGACTTCTGAACAAAGACCTCCATGAAAGGAAATTTAATTTTTCTTTCTGATACCAGTTCTTCTGGGAAGCCCAGAATCTCAGACATATTTTACTAACTCCTTCCCCACTCTCCAGGAAAGCTAGTCTCATTTCATTTCCTGACCAGTGAAAACAATCTCCTGTTCCCTCAGGCTATGATATCTGCCAGCAGGAACACTCTCTCTACTTTGGTCTCTAAGCAGTGCTAGGCCAATATCTGACAGGCTCAGGGTGGCCTGGAATCTAGGAAGCCCCATCTTGGAGGTCTCTCTAGCCCCAGACAGGGCATGGGGAACACTGAATTCAATATGGCACAGTTTTTACCCTCAAAAGACAGACAAATTGAACTATAGCATAACACTGGTGGGTGTACAAATGTTATATGAGCCAAGAGGAGATAGAGACTAACTCTGCCGAGTGCTTTGATTAGGAGGTGACATCCATTCCAGCTAAGTCTTAACAAGTAGTAAAAGGAAGAAAAGGAAATTCAGGCCAAGAAATCAGCATGTGCAATGACAACAAGGAATGGAAAACTGTGGTGGAGAGGGGAGGGCAGTGAGAGCTTGAGTACAGTATGGCAGGAGTGGTGGCAGGATATGAACCAAGGTCAGGAGATGAATGCCTGGCTGAGGAGTGTAGACTTTGCCCTGTAGGCAAGAAGGAACCAGGGAAGCTTTTGAGTGATGTGCACAGCTTAGTGTTGGAGAAGGCTCCCTGTGGAGCCAGTGGGGCTGCCTCTTTTTCTTTCATCAGACACTGTGAAAACATTCCCTTAAGCGTGTGCTTTTTAATATCACATCTATTTGTCTGCTCATTATTTTGTTGCTGGAACGCAATATGTAGTAGATCATGAGATTCGGCTTCTGTGAGAAACCTGGGTCTTTGCTCTACCACAGAGCAGGTTCACCAACCCAGGCTGCTGGGCTCACAAGGGATGGGACATGAAAGGGGACCATGGAAGCTGTTCCCATTGGCGTGGGCTCTGGAGCTGTCTAGAAGTCTGTGGACACCAGACTTGATCAAGGAAGGGCTGGTACTTTGGAAGTTCAAAGGAAGCGTCTCAAAGCAGAGGAAGGCAGAGGAGCCCCGTGACTAGCTTGCTCTTCTCCTTTGATGAGCCTCTTCCCAGGTGTATTTGAGCAGGTCGCCAGGACCCAGCCACCACTGGCCCTGCTGGCTTCCCCCAACTCCAGCCCACAGCCCTAGCTGGCCATACCCCCTCCTTCAAGGAGCCTATGGTGTGGCAAGTCAGCCTGTTGTATGCTGTTTTCTGAGATGTTCACTCACCCGACAGGATGGGGGAGGGGGATGTTTCATACAAATCCTAGGATTTATTCTGCTCAGGAAGGGGTGAAATAACTGGCAGATAAAAATGATAGTGGTTTCTATCATTTCAAATGGCAAGAATTTAAAGTGACTTTAGGGAGATAGAAACTCATAAAATTTCAGGCCATGATGGGGAGCCCAGTTAGGGCCAGGGATGACTGCCCAGCTCATTACCCCCATCCCATTTTCTTACAACCCAACAACTCTCCCAGGAAGGGAGGGCACTGAATAGGACTTAAGCCAGTTTATACAAAAAGGAGCTGAGCCTCAAGGATGGGGTGCCATTCCTAAGAGCCTGCATGGCAACAAGTGGTAAGGCTTGGCTGAGATGGAGCAGTGGTATCCAGGAATTCAGACTTGATTTCTTGCCCAGGGAATCTCCTACACAAATATCACCTCCCCTGCGGTAGCCCTCCCACCTAGTCCAGTTACAGGGTGGACTCACCTTCATACCGCAAAGGAAAATCGTATTCGTGCTTTCTGAGCTAGCTTCTTGTCGCTAGGGCCAAACAGCATCCTTGCCTGGTACACAACCTCCTATGGTTCTTACCTCCTAGATACTGACCTTGTTTAGAGAAGATTCAAGGAATTAATGAGAAACCAAGAGCTGCTCCCTCTCCTATACATTTATGGCCTAGATAGCGTCAGGATGTGTCTCAGCTGTATCCTGACATGGTATTCTGTCACCCTTTCTGATGTGAAGACCTTGGGCCAGGCTAGGCCTCTGAGCCTCTAGATGGCCACAGAAGGCCTCCTTTTGTGAGGACTTAAGGGATCAGTCTGCTTTTAGTCCCGGCCTTCTCTGCAGGTGTAGTCTGAACAGTGGCCTGCCAGATGTCAGTCTTCACATGGAACCAGCAGACCCTGTGCTGGGGATTCTAACACAGGAGCTCACTGAATTCATTTAACAATCCTAAGAAGTGTTTGTGATTGTCACCATTTCACAGATGAAGAAGCTGAGGCTCAGAGGGACAAAACACTTGTCCATGGTCATATAGCTAGTGAAAGAGTGAGCCTGAATTTAAACTGTTTTTTCTAACTTGAAACACAATATTTTTCTACCATGTGTCTGATTTTCCGATGGAGTTACCCATAACAGCAGACACTAGGATGAAACTGGTACCCAATGGATCTGGGTAAAGCCCAAAGAAGACAATGATAAGCTGACAATTTCTTCACAGTCTCAGTTATATTTTAATAATTCACATAATATTTGCATTGCACTTCCTAACATAGCCTGAGATGTTCAAACATAACTGTATAAATTTTTCAAAATCCCTTTTAAAAGTCCCTCCTCTGGCTTTGATCCCTCGAGTCCACTATGATATACCTGAGGGAATCATATCCCAGCCTGAAAGACACAGTGCCTGGACACACTGCCTCCTCCTGAGGCCGAATCCAGACTCAAACTTAAGACCAGCTCACCTTACCCCAGGGAGATACTTTAGTGTGGGGATACCCTGATCTCAACTCACATCTCCTCTAATTGAATGTTCAAAGAGTCCCACTGACACAGACTAGAATGATGCCCATGTAGCATTGTGAAGGCTAAAGCTGTAAAACCCTAAAGTAAAAGGAGAAGTTTAGCACAGCCTGACTCAGCAGGTTCCTGAGGCTGGGGCTTCTCGAACTTTCAGATGGAGTCATATGGCTGCTAACCTTGGCAATCTGAGGACATATTTCATATGAGGGGCTAGGATTGGGAAAGCTCCTCACTTTACCTCAGACACACACACATACTGGGTTCCTACAACATGTAGGGGCCTGGAGGGTCCAGGGAGCACAGATTACTGTGTGTGGCACAGCTTATCCCTTGTTAAAGCATGCGATGCTGTGGAAAGAACTCAGTCTTTGGTTTGAATCCCATTGAATGCCATTTCTTGGCTATAGAACCTTGGACTAATTAATTAATGGAAAATGAGATATGAGAAAAAGAGCCTCAGCCAGTTAGGAGTGGACTTGGAGGGTTTTGGTCAGAAAAAGAAGACACAGCAGGGATACTCAGAACCAAGGATACATATGGTATACTAGGAAAACTGGTCAGTTCTACAACACAGCATGGCAG